TATTTGATAAAATTGATTAAGTGGTTGACGATTATGCTATTATGTAATAGTTATGTCGCCGGTACGGCGCGTGGTGCTATATACAAAAGACAATTGATAAAATTACGTTCCTTTAACTTTACCGTCTGCTTCAAGTAGTGTTGATCAAAAAAGAAAAGTAAATCTTGACATTTCATAAATTTTCAATTATGTCAACATTTGTTTCAAATTTAGTTATTATATATGAACTATTAAAAATACAAAGTTTTTTTTTCTTGGATTGTGTTCTGTGTGTTTGTGAGGTTAAAAGCGGAAGAATCGCCCTGAACGTAACCACCCATTATTACACTTATTGCAACTAAAATATATAATGTAGTCTTTGTATTCTTCAGTGTTCCTTATGCTCCAATTCATAAATCTTTAGATAAGGAAAGGCGCGATTCGATTTGGAGGGCAAGATGCTGTCAATAGCTATTATTGTCATTTCACCAACTTGAAGCGATATACAGGTGAATTTTCCCTTGTCAGATACAGCTATCCAAATTATAACACTTTTTTCAGTAAGAAATGTTTATAAAAAAAGTAGTAGCGCATGCAGTAAGACGTTTTTTTTTATTCATTGATTAATTATTTATTGTTACACTCAATTTTTTATATGTTGTGGTTATTTCAGATGGGTGTTTGTTCTTAATGAGTCTTGCAGACCGTTAATTTTTGATGAGTTAGAAGGGATCTTAAGGTGTTGTTTATAGTTACGAAAAGTTTATAAATCTTCTAAAAAGAAATTTTCGGCGTAACGCTAAGTAAAAGACCTAGCCTACGTAGAATTAGCCCTCCGAGCGCCAGAACCGGACTTGTTCCTCATAATTAACGCCATCCCTAGACGAGAAGACATTCCGAGTCCGGGCCGGCCGGATCTCGTGCTAACTCAAATACATGGCTTCATTAAACTCGCATTTTAATTCATTTTCGAGGGAGAAAAGTTTTTCGCCGCTCTGTTGAAGGGTCAAATATGTATTGTGTTATGAATGGCCTCTCCAGGAGGCATAAATAAATCAACCTTCCTCCAGCCCCGGCTACTCTTTCAGGTCCGTGGCGTTCATTACGTTCCGACAAGATATGCAGATACTAATAAATATACATATAAATTAGGGACAGGACATGTACCTCTATATGAATGTTAAAATAAGTTTCAAATTGTCAACGACGCAAGTTGGTTCCCTTGAGACGCCAGTGTAGGGGCCAGGACTAATTCTGGTGCAGCGAGAGGCAATCTAGCTGGCTGCGGACGGGGCCTAAATTCATTAGCAAACCCAGAAAAATTGTCTACTCGCTTGATATGAAGGCGGTGGGCGGAGGGACTTGGCGAACATTGCAAACTTTTTGTGTTTTAATTTAATTCTTTATTATCTATGCACCTTGCTCAACAGCCATGTTCTTTAATTAGGAAACCCTGGAGCACAATGGCATAATCTACCTACATTCCCCCGCTTTATTTATACAAACTGAAATATTTATGTTTTAATTATGCATAGTCGAACGTTTGAAATGTCACATATTTTCTTTAAAATGCCTTAATACGGACACCGTCTTTGGTTAAATGAATTTTTGCAGAAGGTCTTCGCTGTGATACAAATCTACTGTGCTCCCACGAGAGATCATAAAACTAGGTCAGTTTATATTACAAGCAAAAATTATATCATTTTATAAATTATTTTACATAGATATTATTAAGTAACAGATATCAAATTGCTACACTCATTTGTCTTTTTATTATTAACACAATCACACTTAAGGGTCCAAACTCTTCCACTGACGAATTTGTTTTGACCAAAATTTTAATAAGCAGTTCATTAAAATGATTATCAGACCGAGTCCTACAGAAGTAGATTTTGATCTTTACCTTAGATTCAACTTAACGTATTTCCTCCATCAAGCATCCGTGTGCGACCACATTTATTTGGAGATCTGAGTGTCTTTACCAATGACTATAAAACAGCGGACCACACGATTCAACGAGTGGAATATTTTAAAGACTTAGGAGTCACTTTTAATAATAATAATAATAATAATACTTTATTACGGGATGTACCCAAAAAACTTCAACAACTTAATCAGTTCTACTACTAAACTAGTACTAAATCAACATATATCATACAATTCTGGACCACTTCATCACTAATCTTATCACTAATTTATTACAAATTCAAAGATTAAAAATTAACATGTAGCAATCTTCTGAAATGTTGCGTTGATACTCTAAATAACTATTTCGTTTTTATAGAAGTTTGCTTCACGTGCTAATCTTGAAATTGGAGAGAAAAATCCGTATTTAACTAGTATTGTAAAGTTTGAACCAAAGTAAGGGACTACTTCTTAAAGGTCTTGGAGGACAACATATCGTCACCTTAGAACTGGTTTGCCGCATATCCAGATCGGGTCCGAGGGATTTTCGCCTCTACTGTTTGGTGCAGATTTGCCGCATGTCGCACTTGGGCGAAGCGAAACATAGTTTAGATTCAGTGCTGATTTGCCGCATGTCCAAGCAGAAATCGATAGAGTACCGTTATCCGTTTTTACGTACTTCCTTGCTGTTTTGCTTTTCAGCGTTAGGTTTGGGGTTGGGAAAGAAATCGTATTCAACTTCACGCGCAGAACAATAAGAATAATGTGAAATAAATAAAAAAGAGACTTAACAATTTTGATGAATCTGAAATTAAAAAAAAAACAACTGTAATTTGTGCAACTCTTTTTCTGTTGTTATAGATGTTACAAATATTTTCGATTTTTTTTTTAAGAAAGATTGAGTTTCAAATTATTAGATTCGAAATTTTACAAATTTAAATTTCAAATAGATTTGTTGCTCGTTAAACAAAGAATTTAATTTTTTACTTAACAGTAACATTAGCTTTTTAATCTAATTGCGATAAAACATGACATTTTAATGAGATTTTAGCAATAAAGACTCGATTAGCACCACCAACATAACCTAATAAAATATTTTGTACAGTTTGTGCATTTATTCCGTTTAAATTGACCTAAAATAATTGTCATATTGGATAAAGTAATTCAATTTGAGTCGTTCAGTGATTACTGAGTAAGGTAGCGCGAGTACATTCCTAGCTTGACCGGCTCCCATGACATGTCACAATGCTGACGATGGGGTTTTGAGGAAGACCAGCTGCTCGAAGTCTTCATGTCGGACTTTTTGGATACGGCCTGAGGGTAGTTGGAGATGGCTCGTTTGACGGGGTCACGCACTATGACGAATGAATGGATCAATTTGTGCATGTATTCCGTTTAATTTGTCCTACAATAATCATCACACTGGACAAAGTAATTCAGTTTGAGTTGTTCGTTGATTTCTGAGAATAATTTCTAGTTTTACTTTGACATTTGAATTTTGCATGATTAATCCAAAGACGCGATCGCCGAACTTCGACAGTGCGACGGAACATTTCGCAACAAATCGGATCGGGCGCGAATTTCAAAATACGATTTTTAAAACCTTTTTAGAGTGAATGAGCGCGATGCAACGATTTGAAATAAATACTGGCCGATAGCGATCTTCGACCTCCACAAAGGCATCACTCAATAGTAGCTTTAAAGTGATCTGGGGAGATATTATAAAATAAAAATTAATTCCCATATTAATTCCCTATATCCAGACTTGGATGCGGCACCCTGTATAAAGATGGAGCTAAAATTATGACTTACTTTACCAAGAGGATGTCAATGCATGAGATATCACGAAAGCCCTCGCAAATATCCTGTACGTCCAGTTTGACAACTTTGATATAATTTCTGACTGCTAATAGTACACCTTCACTTCTTACACATTGAGAAGAAACAAAGTCCTGATCTGATCTAAATACTTGATATAAATGCAAATCATATAATTCTCCATTTAGAATATCCTCTCTAACCCAGGTTTCAGTAAGAGCAATCAGCTCGTAGAAATTACTAGAAGCTGATGACAGAAATAAGTCTTTCAGCTTTGTATTGAGACCCTTACATTTTGATAATAACAAACAATATTACTGAAGCCTTGCCTAGAATATATTGAAACAGCTGAATTTGACGTAGTAGTACTCAGGTTAGTTGCTATGAGTGTGATATACCAAATACATCAGTCTTAACTTTCATCAGTAAATTCTTATAATAAGTACAGTTATTCTGATCCCAGCATGCATGGGGAAAATCATTGTCAGATAAGTTTTCTTTGGTTTGGATACTAAGACAATTAACACATTTCAAGTGGTCCTCAGCAGTACAGACCTTTTTTATCGTTTTTATCGAATGCTTACATCGACAACACCTAATAACATCAACCGCATCATAAATGTTGCAGCTGTCTACACAGATCAAACAGTGATTTAAACAGTAGTTTATTTCTGTATGTAGAAAGATCTACACGAACAATTATTTGATAAAAACTCGCGCGATTTTTTATGGGTAAGTATTTTAAAAGCTCACATTGAGAAGATTCTGTAAAAACATCAGAATTTTGTTTCATTAAAAAAGAGACAATTTTTTCTTCACTTGTATCACTAGAAATTCCTGAGATTCGTAATCGTGGAAAAAAAAAATTTAATCGTGGATGTCATACCGTTCTTCTAATTTCTTAACCTGTGCAATTTTTTTAAGTTCGTTAGGTTTCTGACATTTCAGAAGCAGGCCACCGTTTTTCAATTTCTTCACGTTAGAAATCCCAACCGAAGGTTTGCCTGGACTGATGTTAGTAACAATATCTGATATTTAGGTATGGTTTCCGCAGTTGTTTCTGTAGAAAAATTTTTATGAATTATCGTACAATGTTTACTCAATAAAGGTTTAATTACTTTGATTTTGTTTTATTTTAAGATTAAAATGACTTGAAAACAAGCGTGGCGTTAAAGAGGTAGACATACTTTTATCACTTAAATATTTTGCACACTATCATGCGCCTCCTATTTCGTGTTCCGGTGACACAATAACTACGTAACAACATAATCATCAACCACTTGCTTCAATTTATCAAATAAAAACAAACCGAAAGGTCATCTCATAACCTGATGTGCTCTTGTACGCTTTAGTGCGATTCTTAAAATTAAAATCTATTTTAGTCTATCCAAAATAATCACGAAGCAATGTTCGTTTTACATTTCCTTGTCACCTTACTAGTTTTAGCTGTGGTTTATATCGTCCATCGGTCATCACAGATTTTAGACTATTGGAAAAAACGTGGGGTCAAATATGTGAAGCCTTTACCTATAGTAGGCAATATGTTACCTACAATTACAGGCTCGAAATCCATAGCTGAGTTAATAAGATATTTTTATAACGCTTTTCCGTCTGAAAGGTATTTTGTTCTCAATTACTCAAGTAAATTATTACAACTGTTTGTTGCAGGTACGTGGGAATTTTCCAGTTCTCGAGACCAATACTGTTGATACGCGATCCTGAACTAATAAAAATCGTCACTATTAAAAATTTTGAAAATTTTGTTGATCATCTCGGTTTTATTTCTGCTGAATCTGATCCATTGTGGGGAAAAAACTTATTTGCAAGCCAAGGTAGCATATTAATTAATTGTGACCTTTCCTTTTTTGTGTTATTGCAGGTGAAAGATGGCGGGATCTTCGTCAAACCCTAAGTCCTGCTTTTACAAGCAGTAAAATGCGCACGATGTTCTCTTTGATGCAGGAATGTGCCAAACAATTAGTAACTTATTTTAAGGACCAGAACAACAGCATAGTCAAAGTCGACTTAAAAGATATTTTCTCAAGATACGCAACTGACGTCATCGCAACGACAGCTTTCGGCATTAAGTGCGATTCTTTAAAATTTAAAAATAACGAATTTTTGTTGGCAGGGAAAGAGTTTTCTGATTTTAGTGGTATAAAAAGGTTCAAGTTTTTAATTTATGGAAATTATCCAAAGCTTACAAAGGTAAGAAAATTTTGATGAATCGATACAGTGAACTAATGTTCGATTAATTCTAGTTTTTTAAACTTAAAATAGTACCAGATCGGGTAGGTAACTTTTTTAGAGGAATTATTGACGAAACTATCCGTTTGAGAGAAGAAAAAAACATCATCCGACCAGATCTCATTCACTTGTTAATGTTGTCTCGTAAAGGCAAGCTAAAATACGAAGACTACATGAATCTACCAAAAGAAGGATTTGCAGCTGTTGAAGAATCAGAAATCGGAAGAGTTGTACACAATCCTAACTACCTTTCTAACGAAGACATAACAGCACAAGCTTTAGTTTTCTTTCTTGGAGGTTATGACACTATTTCATCAACTACATCGTTCGTTGGTTACGAACTTGCCATTAACCCTCAAATACAGCAAAAACTTAGACAAGAAATAAGCAAAACGCATAAAACCTATGGTGATAATATCACGTATGAACAACTACTCGATATCAAATATCTTGATATGGTAGTTGCCGAGACGTTGCGAAAGTGGCCTCAAGCTATATGGTTGGATCGCAAGTGTACTAAAGCTTTTGAAATTACACCAGAAAGAAGTGGAGAATCTCCAATTAAAATCAATGAAGGTGATATTTGCTGGATACCGGTGTATGGGCTGCACATGGACCCCAACTACTTTCCGAATCCTGATGTCTTCGATCCAGAAAGATTTAGTGACGAAAATGCCAAAAACATTAAAGCTGCTACATTTTTACCATTTGGTAGTGGTCCAAGAAACTGCATCGGATCTAGATTTGCTTTGTTAGAAGCAAAAATCATATTATATAATCTTTTGTTGGAGTTCGAATTCGTCCCTACAGAAGAAACCCAAAATCCAATTAAAATTAAGAGAGACAGTGTTCTATTATTGGCTGAAAAAGGTTTCCCAGTAGGATTTAAACGTAGTGTAATATCTTGAACTAATTTCTATATCTAGTTTTGTAATAATAAAACTTTCTCACATAATACTGTTTATTTAAAACATCCATGAGCACTTATACCAATCATTATTACGTTCCTCTTTCGTCGTATATTTTATTACTGTATAGTGCAAATTTGTCTTGTGTGGAAAGAATAGCTAACGAGGAAGACAATCATCAACTAGTTGACTAAAAGCCTATTTCAATTTATCAAATCAACAGCTACCTAAAGTGATTTAATAAAACGACGACACTGCAAACTAATATTCAGAACTGCAGCAGTAAACAGTGACTGTGAAATCGTCGACAGTATGTTATTTATATTTTTGACTATAGCTGCCGTAATTGTGGTGTTAATCTATATTCGCATTTCATCACGAGAGTTCGATCACTGGAAAAAGCAAGGTGTTAAACATGAGAAACCACTGCCACTTATTGGGAATATGTTACCAGCAATCATATGTTCAAAATCCCTGACTGAGATAATAAAATACTTTTACGATGCCTTCCCAACAGAACGGTATTTTGTCTTCTAAAATCTAATATGCCAATTTGAGCAAATGTGACATTTTTTCAGGTACGTAGGAGTTTACGAATTCGCAAAACCAGTCCTTTTAATTAGAGATCCTGAACTTATTAAAAGTTTAACAATAAAAAATTTTGAACATTTTGTGGATCACTCCGGTTTTGTGGCAAGTGGAATTGACCCTATATGGGAGAAAGGTCTCTTTGCAAGTCAAGGTCTAAACCGGTAGTGAAAATGTTAACCTTTGTTTTGAACTTGTGAAACTTGTAGGTGAAAGATGGCGAGATCTTCGGCAAACCTTGAGCCCTGCTTTTACAAGTAGCAAAATGCGCGCTATGTTTTTTCTTATGGACGAATGTGCTAAACAATTAATCCATTTCTTAAGTACGGAAAATAAGGACGTAATAAACGTGGATTTGAAGGACCTTTTTACGAGATATGCAAACGATGTCATAGCCACTACAGCTTTTGGCATTAAATGCGACTCGTTCAAGTTTAAAAATAACGAAGTTTTATTAAGTGGAAAAAGGTTTGCCGATTTCACCGGTTTAAAGAAGTTTAAATTTATGTTGTACGGGAATCCAGTTCTTGCAAAGGTAAGAATAAATATTTACCTGGTCGTCGTTAACACTGTAAGTGATTTTTAGTTTCTCAATGTTAAACTCGTCCCTGACCAAGTGGCAAACTTCTTTAGAACTATCATCGACGAAACGGTCAGAGTGCGAGAAGAGAAAAAAATTACACGTCCGGACCTCATTCACTTGATGATGTTATCCCGCAAAGGGAAACTGAAATTCGAAGAGTACATAAAATTACCTAAAGACGGTTTTGCAGCCGTTGAAGAGTCAGAAACTGGAAGAAATGAGAATAATCCGAAATACTTAACCAACGAAGATATAACAGCCCAAGTCTTGGTATTTTTTCTTGGTGCTTACGACACATCTTCTTCTACGATAGCGTTTGCTGGGTACGAACTTGCTGTTAACCCTCTTATCCAAAAGAAACTCAGACAGGAGTTAGGCAAAGCGCATAAAGCGTGTGATGGTAACATCACATACGAGAAGTTACTAGAACTAAAGTACCTGGACATGGTAATTTCTGAAACTTTACGAAAATGGCCACAAGGTTCTAGACTGGATCGCAAATGCACAAAAGCGTTTGAAATTCAACCAGAACGAGTTGGTGAACAAGTGGTAAAACTTAAAGAGGGTGATTTTTGCTGGATACCAGTTTATGGTCTACATATGGACCCAAATTATTTTCCTAACCCCGATGCTTTTGATCCTGAAAGATTTAATGATGAAAATATCGAAAAAATTCAACCATGTACATATTTGCCTTTTGGTAGTGGCCCAAGGAACTGCATCGGATCTAGATTTGCTTTGTTGGAAACGAAAATTGTTCTCTATTATCTTTTGTTAGAGTTTGAATTTGTACCTACGGAGAAGACGCAAATTCCAATAAAAATTAGAAAAGACAGCGCTTTACTGCTCCCAGAAAAAGGATTTCACATAGGGTTTAAACGCTCCAGAATTTTCTAAAATCGCATTTTTTTTACTTCCCGAGCGTAAGCAAAGGAAGTATTGTAATCGAGTCCGTCGGCCGACTCTCTACTTTTACGTTTTCTCGATCTTTCATGACCCCTAGAAGACGAAGAAATAGGTCTCCCATTTCCGTCTGTCTGTCCGTCTGTCCGTCTGTCCGTCCGTCTGTCCGTCTGTCCGTCTGTCCGTCTGTCCGTCTGTCCGTCCGTCTGTCCGTCTGTTGTCCCGGATTTTTATTAGACAGATAATCTCCGAAAGTACTCGACCGATTGTTGTGAAATTTTGTACTTATATTAAGAATATCATGTAGATGGTAAAACGCTAACCAAAATTTGTCTAATCATCCCCACCACTAATGCGATGACGTCACTTCAAAATTGTACATAGTAAATGGGTTTTCAATTGTATAAAATAACATAGTCCTACACATGTAGTTTACAACTCCGAATCGACTTTTCACTCGAAACGTCCAGATTTTTGGAAAAAAAATCAAAATTATAAAACAACATTTTGAAATTTAATTTTTAATCTGCTAACCAGAATGCTTTGAAATGTTGCAGATGTTTTAAGGCTATAAAGAGCATCATAAATCTTTAGTCAAAAAATATTTGCTTATCCCCTCCAAAAACTTGATGACGTCAGCTCAAAAGTTTGTGGAATAAATCATATCTAAAATGTACAAAATATGATGAGTCTGTACTTGTGATCTATCACTCCATTCATATTTTTTGGATTTGCATATACAGGGTGACTCAAAAAAATTAATGAATGCGTAAATTTATTTTACTAATTTACTCAGAAACTACAAAACCGAATGCTTTGAAATCTTGCAGATGTTTTAAGGTTATGAAGAGCATAATAAATGTTTAGTCAAAATATATTTGCTTATCCCCTCCAAAAAATTGATGACGTCAGCTCGAAAATTTGCCGAATAAATCCTATCTAAACTGTAAAAATATGATGAGTCTGTACTTGTAATTTATCACTCCATTCATATTTTTTGGATTTGCATATACAGGGTGACTCAAAAAAATTAATGAACGCGTAAATATATTTTATTGATTTAATCAGAAACTACAAAACCGAATGCTCTGAAATCTTGCAGATGTTTTAAGGTCATAAAGAGCATAATAAATGTTTAGTCAAAATATATTTGCTTATCCCCTCCAAAAACTTGATGACGTCAGCTCGAAAGTTTGCCGAATAAATCCTATCTAAACTGTAAAAATATGATGAGTCTGTACTTGTAATTTATCACTCCATTCATATTTTTTGGATTTGCATATACAGGGTGACTCAAAAAAATTAATGAACGCGTAAATATATTTTATTGGTTTAATCAGGAACTACAAAACCGAATGCTCTGAAATCTTGCAGATGTTTTAAGGTCATAAAGAGCATAATAAATGTTTAGTCAAAATATATTTGCTTATCCCCTCCAAAAACTTGACGACGTCAGCTCGAAAGTTTGCCGAATAAATCCTATCTAAACTGTACAAAATATGATGAGTCTGTACTTGTGATTTATCACTCCATTGATTTTTTTTTGGATTTGCATATACAGGGTGACTCAAAAAAATTAATGAATGCGTAAATTTATTTTATTGATTTACTCAGGAACTACAAAACCGAATTCTTTGAAATCCACTGCGAAAAAAAAAACATAATAGGCATGCAGTCGTCACGTTTCCGACAGCGAGGGAAGTACTGTCTAAACTCTTTAGACCAATTTTTTTTTGTTACAAAAATGTGAATAGTTTATAATCTTTTGTAATAATAATGATAATAATATCTTTAGAAAAATTAAGACTTTTTTACAAGTGTAGCGAACCGACCTAGTGCCCCTAATGTATTGAATCTAAAAGCGCCATCTATCAAAAAATTATCTAAGTAAAGAAAATCAACGTTTTCTAGTCTGACCGCGTCCCAAAGCACAAAAGGAGTGTCCGCATACGGGTGAACTAACTGCGTCATTTCCAGACGCTGTTTTTGCGAAAACAATAATAAAATCCTTTAGTCACCCGCAACTAACTATACTCTGAAATTACTGTGTTAAAAATTACTCAAAATCTGGCTATTCGGGCAGTTTCTTAAAACATAAACGAGACGTGATATCGATTAGATTCTGAGACTAAACACAACGAAACGTTGAACCATGTTAGTATTATTTTTGTCACTTACGGCCGCAATTTTGATGCTATTTTACATCGTTCGTACCTCTTCAAAAAATTTCGACCACTGGAAAAAACAAGGTGCTAAGCACCTAAAGCCTCTGCCGTTAGTGGGTAATATGTTACCGATTGTGACAAATTGGACGTCTTCAGCCGAACAAATACGAAACTTGTATAACGCTTTTCCACACGAAAGGTAATTTTTTTTATTTAGTTCAAAAGTTTGTGACTTGTGTTGTAGATACTTAGGAATGTTCCAGTTTGCAAAACCGATCCGTATAATTAGAGACCCTGCACTAATAAAAGATATTACAATTAAACACTTTGAACATTTTGTGGATCATTCTGGCTTTGTTGCAACAGGTGTTGAACCTTTATGGGACAAAGGTTTATTTGCAAGTCACGGTTCGAAGGTAATTTTGTTCCAGCTGTTTGACCTTTTTACTTCCCGAGCGTAAGCAAAGGAAGTATTGTAATCGAGTCCGTCGGCCGACTCTCTACTTTTACGTTTTCTCGATCTTTCATGACCCCTAGAAGACGAAGAAATAGGTCTCCCATTTCCGTCTGTCTGTCCGTCTGTCCGTCCGTCTGTCCGTCTGTCCGTCTGCCCCCGGATTTTTATTAGACAGATAATCTCCGAAAGTACTCGACCGATTGTTGTGAAATTTTGTACTTATATTAAGAATATCATGTAGATGGTAAAACGCTAACCAAAATTTGTCTAATCATCCCCACCACTAATGCGATGACGTCACTTCAAAATTGTACATAGTAAATGGGTTTTCAATTGTATAAAATAACATAGTCCTACACATGTAGTTTACAACTCTGAATCGACTTTTCACCCGAAACGTCCAGATTTTTGGAAAAAAAATCAAAATTATAAAACAACATTTTGAAATTTAATTTTTAATCTGCTAACCAGAATGCTTTGAAATGTTGCAGATGTTTTAAGGCTATAAAGAGCATCATAAATCTTTAGTCAAAAAATATTTGCTTATCCCCTCCAAAAACTTGATGACGTCAGCTCAAAAGTTTGTGGAATAAATCATATCTAAAATGTACAAAATATGATGAGTCTGTACTTGTGATCTATCACTCCATTCATATTTTTTGGATTTGCATATACAGGGTGACTCAAAAAAATTAATGAATGCGTAAATATATTTTATTGATTTAATCAGGAACTACAAAATGGAATGCTCTGACATCTTGCAGATGTTTTAAGGTTATAAAGAGCATAATAAATGTTTAGTCAAAATATATTTGCTTATCCCCTCCAAAAACTTGATGACGTCAGCTCGAAAATTTGCCGAATAAATCATATCTAAAATGTACAAAATATGATCAGTCTGTACTTGTGATCTATCACTCCATTCATATTTTTTGGATTTGCATATACAGGGTGATTCAAAAAAATAAATGAAAGCGTAAATTTATTTTACTGATTTACTCAGGAACTACAAAACCGAATGCTTCGAAATCTTGAAGATATTTTAAAATTAACATAAGCATGGTAAATTTTTGATCAAAACGTATTTGGTCGCCCCCCCTAAAAAATGTATGACGTCACCACAAAATTTTACTGAATAAATCCTATCTAAAATGTACAAAATATGGTGAGTCTCTTCTTGTGATTTATCACTCCATTCAAATTTTTTCGATTTGCATATACAGGGTGATTCAAAAAAATAAATGAAAGCGTAAATTTATTTTACTGATTTAATCATGAACTACAAAACCGAATGCTTTGAAATCTTGCAGATGTTTTAAGGTTATAAAGAGCATAATAAATTTTTAGTCAAAATATATTTGGTTATCTTCTACAAAAAACTGATGACGTCAGCTCAAAAGTTTGCCGAATAAATCGTATCTAAAATGTACAAAATATGATGAGTCTGTACTTGTGATTTCTCATTCCATTTATATTTTTGGATTTGCATATGCAGGGTGACTCAAAAAAATTAATGAAGGCGTGAATTTATTTTATCGATTTAATCAGGAATTACAAAACCGAATGCTTTGAAATCTTGGGAATATTTTAAAGTTATTATAAGCATGGTAAACTTTTGTTGAAAATGTATTTGTTCATCCCTCCTAAAAAAATTGATGACGTCACCCTTAAATTTTGCTGAATAAATCCTATCTAAAATGCAAAAAATATGATGAGTTTGTACTTGTGATTTATCATTCCGTTCATATTTTTTAGATTTTCTTAAGAGGTGGTTCAAAAAAATTAATGAAGTCAATTTATTTTATTGATTAAATTAAAGGCAACACTTATTATTAGTATTACACCCCAACCAACCCAATTTGGTAGACACAAAATTTGTTAAAGGAAAAACTCGGTTGAAACATAAGGGTAGCATGCTTATTTACATCGACTTTAACATTACAGACCTGCATTTGTTTTATGCGCTCACTTGGTTCCGCGAATGTGAAATAGACATGTTTATAATCAACCAATTGTGAATTTCACCGTCAAGAATTAAAATAAAACCCAATGTTTTATATAATAAGCGGAAGTCGAAGCAATAAAACCGATGGTCGTTTTGTTTACAGTTTCTCTGTTTGACTCTCACGTATGCTGTTACGCCTGTCATCTTAAATTAAGAATGTTTATACATACACGATTTTCAGTTGCCTCTGATACGTATACGTGAGTAAATTGTTTCGTTATTTTATTGATTATTACAAATCAATATTCAAAACGACCCAATTCATTTTCCCGAAAATTTGAGAATATAATAATTTTATTCTTAGTATTACACTACATCTATCCCAACTGATATACGTGTCCTTGCAAAAATGTTGATGACGTCATCGCAGTTTTTTTTTCAATTCCCACTACAAAAATGTAATGAGAAAAAAAACACAATAGGCATGCAGTCGTCAAGTTTCCGACAGCGAGGGAAGTACTGTCTAAACTCTTTAGACCAATTTTTAATAATTGTAGGTGAACGGTGGCGTAACCTTCGTCGAACATTAAGCCCGGCTTTTACAAGTAGTAAAATGAGATCTATGTTCATTCTCATGGACGAGTGTGCTACGCAGTTGATTAACTACTTTGAGGGGCAAAATGCAACCATAATAGAATTAGATGTGAAAGATCTGTTCGCGAGATATACGAATGACGTTATAGCCACTACAGCTTTTGGAATTAAGTGTGATTCTTTTAAATCTAAGAATAACGAATTTTTGTCAGCAGGAAAAGAGCTAGCTGACTTCAGTGGTTTAAGGAAATTCAAAGTCATGCTTTATGCCCATCCCACAATTTCGAAGGTTAGAATCAATATTTTCCAGAGATATTCATTTCTTTGTGTAACATGAATTTTCAGCTTTTGAACATTAGAATGATTCCCGATGAAGTAGCACTTTTTTTTCGAAAAATTATTGACGAAACCGTTCGTTTAAGAGAAAAGAACAAAACTGTGCGTCCAGATCTCATTCATTTGATGATGTTGTCTCGTAAAGGAAAACTAAAGTACGAAGAGTTTGTGAGTAAAGACGGATTTGCAGTTGTTGAAGAGTCAGACGTTGGAAAAACTGGAAATAGTCCGAATTACCTATCCAACGAAGATATAACGGCTCAAGTGCTAGTTTTTTTTCTTGGTGCTTATGACACAGTTTCGTCTTTAATTGCATTTGTTGCCTACGAACTCGCTATTAATCCGACAATCCAAAAACGACTCAGACAAGAAATCAGAAAATTTGGCAAAAGAAGTGACGATGACATCACATACGAAAACTTACTCGAAATAAAATATCTGGATATGGTGATTACTGAAATGTTACGAAAATGGCCTCCAGCTATCAGACTGGATCGTAAGTGTACGAAGGCATTTAAAATTGAACCAGAGAGAAGTGGAGAAGCTCTAGTACAACTGAAGGAAGGCGATATTTGTTGGATACCGGTTTATGGAATTCATATGGATCCCAGATATTATCCAAATCCTGAAGTTTTTGATCCTGAAAGATTTAGCGAAGACAATGTAGATAATGTAAAGTCTGCTACATACCTACCGTTTGGTATTGGTCCTCGAAATTGTATAGGATCCAGATTTGCTCTACTAGAAACCAAAATTGTGCTATATAAACTTCTGCTAGAGTTCGAGTTTGTTGCTACAGAAAAAACACAAATTCCGATTAAAATTAAAAAGAATACTGCTGCATTATTACCAGAGCAGGGTTTTCACATTGGCTTCAAACGTAATCCACTATTTTAAATAACTTTGTGGCTAACATGACTGTTAGCAGGTAGTTATTTTTGGAAAAGTTACGCAAAAGTAGTTTAATACTATTGTGACATTTTTACGTAATAATAATTAAATAAAATTTTTGGGAAAGTTGTACGTATTGTTTCGTTTCGCAAATTTTGAAAATAAGTATGCATTTTTCTTTATACCTTGGATAAAAAAAATGTACATATTGAGTAGTATACAATCTTTTAACAATATTAACCTTACTACTTTAGAACTGCTTTTAAGCTAAATATGAATAAAGGGAATCCAGTCTTTCTTCAAAAAAATAGTTTATTACACAGAAAAATACATTAGTTTGTATAAAATTCGTTTGAAAATTAGCACATCGTAGTAATTTTTTTTTCTTTTTTTTTGACTTACCTACCATTCTTAAGCATAGTTCATATCTCGGCAAACATATCATAATATAAACAATTTAATATTCAGTAATTCTTTTTTTATTCAATATTTTTTGAGAAAAATTATATCCCATTAATTTAATGTAATATGAAACAAGACATATAAAGAAATATCGATTCTAACAATACTGTAAAATAATATGTCCAGAATTCATTAAAAAAAAGGTAAAATATGCTCTCAAAATGTTTGCTAACCTTTTTTACTTCTCGAAAGTAAACTTGCGTATTGTAATAGGGTCCATTCTTCAAATGGCTACTTTCATGTTTTCTCGAAGTTTCATAACTCCTACAATAAGAAAAAATAGGTATTCCGTAATTTAACTTTACTGTAGCTTTGTCTAGATAATGCCAACGTGATTGGCGAAACGCGTAGACAATTATTTTGTATATTTATTTATATTTTTACTTCTCGTGCGTAACCGAAGGAAATATTGTTGCAGGGTCCATCGGACGACTGGCTACTTTCATATTTTCTCGGCGGTCATAATCCTTAGAGTTCTAAAAAAAATGTGGTGTCCCATTTCGGTTTGTTTGTCGTCCTTGTCAATATCTATTAGACAGATAATAATCTCCGAAACTGCTAGAGCGATTGTTATCAAATTTTACATGTATTTTGGGAGTATCATGTAAATGCTGAAACGCTAACCAAAATTTGTCTAGTCATGTCCACCAACAATTCGATGACGTCCACTCATTACATTGCGTAGTGAAGATTATCTAGATTTTATGAATTGATATACTCTTGTACTCGTGGTCTATAAATCCTTCATAATTTTTATCACAATTTCTTTAGAAAAATTTTTTTGTGCAATATTTTCCACGTGCTTTATGTAGCCTACATCTCGCTTGACTGTCAAATGCTTAATATCTCAGTTCAGAAAAGGGCTGAGTGTTTTTTTTTTCACTGTGGCTTGTTTTATCTACATTTTTTTACTTATAGAGGTTATCATAAAATAAATAAAATTTTGCCTAATCAAATTTTATAATTTTCCGAACTTGATTTGCTCAATTATATTTAATAACATAATAACCTTAGACAAATTGTTTCATTCTTATTGGAATTCTGAGGATTTGAGGATTCTAGTGTTCTGAAAATTTGAGGACTACATGGTGGTTTGCGGATCTGAGGATTTTAGTGTTTTGAGAATTTGAACATTTTGGTGTTCTGAGTATTTGAGGATTATGGTGTTCTGAGGATCCGAGGATTCTGATCTTCTGAGGATTTGAGGATTATGTTGTTTTGAAGAATTAAGGATTACGTTGTTCTGATGATTTGAAAATTCTGGTGTTCTGAGGATTTGAGGTTTATTGTGTTTTAAGTATTTGAGGATTGTCTTGCTTTGAAGGTTTGAGGATTATCGTGTTCTGAGGATTTGAGAATTCTGGTATTTTGGGGATTTGAGGATTTGAGGATGCTGATGTTTTGGGGATTTGAGGATTATGGCGTTTTGAGGATTTGAAGATTATGATGTTATGAGGATATGAGGATTCTGGTGTTTTGATGATTTGAGGATTTTGGTGTTCTGAGGATTTGAGGATTCTGGTGTTTTGATGATTTGAAGATTTTGGTGTTCTGATGATTTGAGGATTATGGTGTTTTGAAGATATGAGGATTTCGGTGTTTTGAGCATATGAGGATTTTGGTGTTCTGAGGATTTGAGAATTATGGTGTTCTGAGGATTTGAGGATTCTGGTGTTCTGAGGATTTGAGGATTATGAAGTTCTGACGATTTAACGATTATGATGTTCTGAGGATTTGAGGATTATGGTGTTTTGATGATTCGAGGATTTTGGTGTTCTGACGTTTTGAGGATTATGATGTTCTGAGGATTTAGGATTATGGTGTTTTCAGGATTTGAGAATTCTGATGTTTTGAGCATTTGAGGATTTTGCTGCTCTAGGGATTTGAGAATTATGGTAATCGGAGGATTGGAGGATTATGATGTTCTTAGGATTTGGGGATTATGATGTTCTGAGGATTTGAGGATTATGATGTTCTGAGGGTTTGAGGATTATGGTGTTTTTTTTGTTCAATATTTTCCACGTGCTGTATGTAACCCACTTTCGCTTGACTTTCAAGTGCTTAATACCTCAGTTGAAAAAAGGGCTGAATGATGTTCTTCCACTGTGGCTTGTATTATCTATATTTTTATCTTATAGAGTTGATCATAAAATAAATAAAATTTTGCCTAATCAAATTTTATAATTTTTCGAAAAAACTATATTTGTTCAATGATATTTAAGGGGCAAAGGAAGTTTTTGTCTAAGTAACCTTAGACAATTTTTTTAATTATTATTATTTTTACGGAGAAAGCTGAAGGCTATATCAAAGTAACATTACTTTGACTCAACTGAGTGTTGCGTGCATCTTGTTGACATTCCAGTTCATCGAATTCAAAAATGTATGATTCCCATTTTCATCTCCCTGACTCTTTCATCACTCATCTGTCCGAAAAAGTGTTTTAACAAATTATCACCAAAGGTCTCTAAAATTTTAAGTTAAAACATCGCATTACGCCTACAGCATTAAGAAAAAAACAAAACGCTGTTGTTTCTGTTGGCTTTCTTTAGAAATTGATAACATAATCACGAAATATAGCAAAGGGCCAGTTTAAACAACATTTTAACTGAGATTAATTTAATCACGCATTCAATGAGGCGTTTAGTAACGTCTGATTGGCGTAGAGTCGGTCCCTGGTACTTTAGCGCCGTGCTAAAAATTTAGTCGCAGTCAAATATTTAACTACAATCCAGCAAATCCAACTTTCTCGAAAAATTATAAAATTTGATATCGCTTTTTTTATTTTATGATAAATCCTGTAAGTTAAAAAAGACCAATAACAGTGTAAAGAAAATACCACACAAGGGAATCGAACCCGCGACCTCCACGTTATTTGCACGCTCACGAATCAACTGAGCCATTGAACACTTTTAGTATAATAAGTATATATAAAATGTTATTGTAGAATTTTGATTTTTACAGGAGTATGTTGTTTTATAAAATTTAAATAGCATTTACCATGCACATTGTGGAGGTAACGTCATCAAACTGTTTAAACTGGACACCAATCGGTCCGGTAGTTCGAAGATTATCTAATAAAAACCGACACAAACGACAGATAAACGGAAAGGAAGACATTTTTTCATAATTTAGGGGTCATGAAATGTCGAGAAAACAGTACAGTTCGTCCAATGTACCCTATTACAATACTTCCTTAGCTTCGTTTAATTCTAACGTTTTCCGTCGAACGAAATCAGTTTTAGATATGATGTTGGATTTTCAGTAAAAGTAAATTTTTATAATTGGGACCTAGATCTCCTTCGAAATTTTTAAGAAAGAATTAGAACGATAAAAGCGGTTCTTACAATAACATAAATTAACAACAATTTAAAGTATTTGAAAAGAAGAACTGTTCTTAACCAACTGATCCATTTATAATAATTACGAATCCACATCATAATTGATATATGACCAAAAAATAAATAATAATTCAACTAATAAATTGTAGACTAATATAAATATGTATCAAAACATGACGTTTTTTTTTTGGACAGGAGGGATAGCGCAACTTCCAGAATTTTATATAAGTAGTGGTAAAGACATTAGTTTTATGTGCTAATAAAATTTTATGCTCCTGTTAGTGCCGTTTAGGCCAACTGCTAGAGGTTTTCAGTGATCATTCACAGACTGTGCCGCTTTGAAATCTGGGTAAATGTCAGGGTTATATTTAGGAAGACACTTGGTAGTCAAAGATTTACTTGCCTAATTACTGAGGCAAGATAGTCTCATGATGTTGAAAGTTTACATATAATTTCCAGACACAAACAACAAATTAATATTCTGTTGCTGTGCGTAACCCTTACCTCACTTAATTTCGTTACAGAATAAAGCATATTCGCCCTTTTTAGTAAATGATTTTACAGCTAAATTTTTATTACTATACAAAAACAGCATTCTTACTGTAGTTTCAATAAAACTGGCAACTTTTTCCTAAGACAGAGTTTAAACTAAGAAAATTCTTTATAAAAACAACCGCAGCATGTTTTTAGTATGGCATAATTAAAAAAAATCTGCTTTGATAATATTCATTTCTGCTTAAAAAATTGTCACCGTATTCGGCGATCCCAATTTTTACTTGCAAATGAAAACATGAATAATAAATGCGGTACTTTCCATTGCAGGAATTTGTAATTGGGACCTTAAACACATTAGCCGGAAACGTCGGATTCTTATTGTTCGAGTTATAAAGTAAACAGTGACGCCCCTGCAGCCAGCCAAGAAGTAAAGTACCTGCCTTTTGCCATTTTAACGCAAACCTAATTTTCTCATATTAGCCGTCGCGTACAAAAGAAAACTTTTTCCCCAGGAGATGTTATAGACAGTTAAATTGAATTCGGCCATGGTTCCTGTGTTATTAAATCACACGACAACTTTTAATATTTCACGCAACTTTTATCACGACCGAAGAATTATATATAGGGGCGGTAAACGACTCGGAGCGTGGCGTTTAATTGTCTTGTGGGCCATAATTGGGTTAATCTTCAGGGTTCTAACGGACCAAGAGCGGACAAAGGTGTAACCAGGAATTAGTCCCAATAAAACGTGTCCGACTTTTCAATAATTTAAACCGTCGGCGTGGATTTGAGGCACTGCCGA